TTCCCTCAGGCCCAAGAGGGAATGGGGTGCCGTGCCAAGTGCTGGGCTCTCTAGGAAATCCTGATGCTTGTGCTTGAAATGGGATTTYAGGGGGTTTAAGTGGTGGAAAATGAGAAATTAGCTTGGGAGCATAAAAGGAAACTCGTGTGCCAATAAATGAAATCAATGGCACATCCAGCATGGAATGGGGTTCCGGTAAAATCCAAATTCCAGTTGAAAAACCTCATCTGTAGGTGCTGAGTGCTTGCAGTGGGGTGGGAAATGAGGGATTTTGCAGGGATTCTCCCTGGTTTATGGGATGGCCCAGGCCAGGAGCCCCGAGGCAGATCAGCCTCGCAATCGGAATTTCACGGGCGCGTTTTAATCGAGGATGAAACGAGCTCAGAGGGGCCCACTCAGCTTTGTGCCGTTGTTCAGTGCTTTGTCTGTTCCCAAAATCCCATGGAACCGTTTCCGGTGGGATTTGTACCGGAATAATCCTGGGAATTCCCCATTTGGGTGTAAAACGTGCCCAGAGGGATGAGAGCGATGCAGAGAGCTGAATTATCTTTGATTTATGGATTGTGGGGCTGATYCCATTGGATCAGCATGGGGGACTCTGCTCTTTGCTTCCCAGAATTCCCAAAATCACCAGGTTTAGTTTCCCTGTGGGGTTTTGCAGGGAATAAAACCCTCAAGAGTTGATTAAAGATGGGTTGGATTTGCTTTAATTGAGGTGAAGCTGCCAGACTGGGACGGGTGGAGGGTTCCCCATCCCTGGAAGTGTCTGAGGAAAGGCAGGAGAAGAGAAGGGAGAGCTTGGAGAGACTTCCAGAGGGGAAAGGGGCTCCAGGGGGGCTGGGGAGGGATTTGGGGTGAGGGATGGAGGGACAGGACCCGGGGAATGGGGTCACACTGGAGAAGGGGAGATCTGGGAGGGAGATTGGGGAGGAATTCCTGGCGGGGAGGATGGTGAGGGAATGGGATGGGATGGGATGGAATTCCCAGAGCAGCTGTGGATCCCCAGGCCAGGCTGGGATCGTGGGAAGGGAGGGTGGGAATGGGATGAGCTGTGGCTCTGTCTCAGCCATGCCAGAGCCCAAACCTGGGGCGTTTCCCGCAGGCTCAGCCAGGACCCCTCACCCCGGGAGCCGGGAATTTGGGAATTGTGCTGTTGCTGTGTCCCTGACCCCGCCCCTCTCACCTCTCTCTCCCCATTGTTCCCTGTCTGCTCCTCGTTCCCGGCAGTAATTCCCTGTTCCCTGCGGGGGGGGAGGTGACCCCGGTACTGACCGCTCCTTAAAGTTTTACCCCCAGAGGACGCGGAGACGCGGCGGGTGGCGGAAAAGCTGGCCCGGTTCGTGGCCCAGGGCGGCCCCCGGCTGGAGAAGGTGGCCATGGAGGACTACAAGGAYAATCCTGCTTTTTCGTGAGTTTGGGATGGGCTTGGCCCAAGGARAACGGTGGGAAATGGCAGGAGCTGGGTTGGCTGTTTGTTCACCAGGAAAAGGAAAGTTTGGGATTTTTTGTTATTCCTTGTGAGAGGGACAGTTTGGGATTCGCTGTTTGTTCTTCCCTCTGGAAAATTTACCCACAGGAGTTGTGGATTTTCCATCCCTGGAAGTGTCCAAGGGGAGGTGGGAGAAAGGGAGCTCCAGGGAACCAATTCCAGTGGTTAAAGGGGATTTGGGGTAAGGGATGGAGGGACAGACACAGGGAGTGGTTTAAACTGAAGGAGGGTGGATTTAGATGGGATTTGGGAAGGAATTCCTGGGCTGGAATTCCCAGAGCTGCCATGGCAGTTTCCAGGCCGGGCTGGAGCTCCCTGGGATGGTGGGAATGTCCCACCCATGGGGTGATGATCCCTGATCTCCCT